CAGTCCCTGCTCCCCACGCAGCCCCTGCTCCCCATACAGCCCCTGCTCCCCATACAGTCCCTGCTCCCCATACAGTCCCTGCTTCCCATACAGTCCCTGCTTCCCATTACAGCCCCTGCTCCCCATACAGTCCCTGCTCCCCATGCAGTCCCTGCTCCCCACGCAGTCCTGCTCCCCACGCAGTCCCTGCTCCCCATACAGTCCCTGCTCCCCATACAGTCCCTGCTCCCCATACAGTCCCTGCTCCCCATACAGCCCCTGCTCCCCATACAGCCCCTGCTTCCCATACAGTCCCTGCTTCCCATACAGTCCCTGCTTCCCATACAGTCCCTGCTTCCCATACAGTCCCTGCTCCCCATACAGTCCCTGCTCCCCATACAGTCCCTGCTCCCCATACAGTCCCTGCTCCCCGTACAGTCCCTGCTCCCCGTACAGTCCCTGCTCCCCGTACAGTCCCTGCTCCCGGTACAGCCCCTGCTCCCCATACAGCCCCTGCTCCCCGTACAGCCCCTGCTCCCCGTACAGCCCCTGCTCCCCGTACAGTCCCTGCTCCCCGTACAGTCCCTGCTCCCCGTACAGTCCCTGCTCCCCGTACAGTCCCTGCTCCCCGTACAGTCCCTGCTCCCCGTACAGTCCCTGCTCCCCGTACAGTCCCTGCTTCCCATACAGTCCCTGTTCCCCATACAGTCCCTACTCCCCATACAGTCCCTGTTCCCCATACAGCCCCTGCTTCCCATACAATCCCTGCTCCCCATACAATCCCCGCTCCCTGTCCCTGACTGAAAAAAACAACTACATAGATGTTTCATTGGCCCTGAAGTTTTTAGGAATTTTTCCAAGAACAGACTCGATCTTAATTTGTTTTGCATTTTGCAGAAGTGTAGAAAACTGTATTGTTCCATCTATGACAGTACTAGAAACATTTCTGATTGCATCCTTATCCTGGTAGATTAATCGTAATCTTCAGTCCCATGTACTTTTACATTGCCTTTATCACATAACGGGTACAGAAAAGTCCTGGGCTTAGGGG